AACTTGGCATCTGAGCTGCCCTCTAGTAAGGAGCTGCTAGATTGCGCATCATCAAGAGATCTTCCCAATACAAGGTGGGGATGTGTTGTGGGGCATTGTGGGGCGCAAATGTCAACTCATATAGAACTTAGAAGTGGGCGTCTTGCAAGGTGTCAATTGGCTAATTGGTAAGGTCTTCTATTGGTTGTAGTGGAGACTTGAAATTGAATCTCACCTTCACCTGAGTTAGGGAGTTATGAGTTTAAAACTTATAAGTAGGCGTCTTGCAAGGTGTCAACTAATTGTTGGTAAGGTCTTCTGTTGGTTGTAGTGGAGATTTGGAATTGAATCTTGCTTGCACTTAGGTTGGGGGATTTATGGGTTTAGAACTTAGAAGTGGGCTGTCTTGCAAGGTGTCAACTGGCTGGTTAATATGGCATCCTGTGTTTATGGCAGAGATTTGGGATTGAATCCCGCCTACACCTATGTTGGGGGTTTATGGGTTTGGGGGATGAGTACCCTATTGTATAGCTCCTTAAAGATTGTGCCCCGTTTGGCATGTCTTCCCTTGCAGTCTATCGGTTATTTACAAGCTTGGCAGACTATAATTCGATCTTTTCCCATTTGGTTTGCGGTAGATCTAACCGCCAAAAGCTGATACGCCAACGTAAAAAACCTAAAACATATGATTTTCAGGGAATTCCAAATAGAGTTTCTTTTGTGTTTTTTTTTTCTATTTGTCTTCATATAGAAAGACATATCTTAACCAAACAAGCTTCATATTGACTAAATCTTAATACAAAAACTCAATACATCTTTTGACTATTAAAACTATTAGAAGATCTTTCAAAAAATACTTACAAACAGAGAGAGGAGTGAAAAAATATTCTCCAACGTTTTTGAGTCGTAAGAGGACATTCTACCATTCTGGTTTTGATTTAAGGATATTTATGTCACAGAAAATAAAAACCACGTGAAAGCCACAAATGCCCATTTTGCCGTTTGGTTTGGACAATGGTATTGTTGGTCTTAGCCAAAAGAGGCCGAGAAAGTGTGTTGACACTTATGTGACAGTGTTATATCTGATCCAAGAGGACCCACCTATTATTTTAAAATTATCATCATCATAATCATAATCCTTATCCCAATCAATACGGATTGGCTTCCCTACATAAATCTTATTATTTTATTTAATGAAATATTTATTATGTTTAAATCATTTCTAATTATTTCAACTCATGTCCTTTTTTCTAGTCGACTTAATTAGTAATTATGTAGTGTTTTTAAACCGCCGTTGACTTATACGGTTGGATCACTTGACATGGGAATTGTTCAGGCAATTTGCTTTCTTTTTATCCTAAACCTGGTTTTAAGCCAAAATTATTTATTTGGTCAGTGACCCATTGACCTAGGTGATTGAATCGTCAATTCATTTAATAGTTTTTGGTTATTTTTATTTTTTAAGTTGGAACAAACCGTTTGTTTAATCCGGTGGTCAGAATAGTTCTGATTATAGATCGATTTTTAAAACCTTGCTATATCATCTATTCATGTGACCAAACTATTTTTCTCCACTTTCTCTTTTTAATTGTCACTTATTGAAGCTATCATTAGGTTATTTTGAAATTTGAATTAATTTCAATCCATGTCCTTTTTTTTTGTCTGCCCCTAACCCTTGTATCCCCTTCAACTTCCAATTGATCACGTTTTTTTTTTCGTAGGAGTGCTTAAGGGATCTCTTATGCATCACCTTTTGGAGCTATTCCTATGAAGGATTTTATTCTTTTACTTCATCTTTTTTGCAGTTTGGATCAAACAGGCACAACGTTGTAAGTACGTTAAATGAGCATTTAGAAATTTTTTTACATATAAAAGTACTTCCATAAAAGTGCTTTCATAAAAGTACTTTCACAAAAGTTCTTTCGTAAAAATGTTTTCATAAAAGTGCTTTCATAAAAATACTTTACTTTTATAAAAGTACTTTTCGTAAAATTACTTTTATAAAAATGCCTTTGTAAAATTGTTTTTATAAAAGGATATATTGGTATTCTAAAAATTCACCTGGGACTATGGGAGAAAAAGTTGAATAAGTGATTATTGTACGAGCACTTACAAAAAAGCTAGAAATTTGAACTTAAAAAAAAGCACTTATTTCAGGTTTATTTTCCAAACACCAATAAATGTTTAATGGTATGACCCCGACCCAAATAAGCACTTATTTTTAAACACTCCCAAACATGGCCTAATACCCACTTCTTACCATTGCCAAAATATTTATCAAATGCTTATTTGACTTTATTGTACCTAGTAGATCCCGTCCCTTTTTTTTTTCACTCATCCATGACAGCATATGCATTTGTACGGCACTCTTTTTTTTTTTTTTTTCTTTTATCTCTTTCTTTTTTGCATGCTTTTATTGACCTTCCAATACTCTACGGACCGTAAATCATTGTTGGTCTTACAATTGTTTTATAAAAATTTTATTTTATTTAAAAAATGACTTATGAAAAATCAAAAAGAATATTATTTAATAGAGGGGTGTTCAACATGATTGGTTTTGTTATTGGAAACAAAAACAACAGCCACATAAGCCAAAATATATTATTTTTCTGAATATGGCGATTGCTTTTGTTTTCAAAAAAAAAAAAACCTGCATTATTCATTTTGGCGGTTCTTATAATTAATATTAGATATTCAAAATTTAAATTTTTACATAAAGTTTAATGGTCAGACCAGTTGACCCGGGAACCGGTTAGGTAATTGGTTATGTTTCACCATAAAATCATTTTTTTTTTACAAAAAACCGTTGATTTGATCAGTGACTTGCTGAACCAAACCGTTGAATTATTGACCCATCAACTCAAATAATGGTTTTTTGTTGTTTTTTATTTTATTTATTTTTAAAATAAAATGAATCATTCATTTGAATCGGACAATCAGACCTTTCAACCCAGGAACCGATCCCCAGAATGGTTCCATATCCGATCAAATTTTAAAACTTTGTTTGAGTGAATAGAGACCTTACCAATTAAGCCGATTCGCACCTTCACTTGTATATACATAAATTTTACATCCTTTTTTCAATGGAAACTTTGATCTCATTTTGGGTGCAAAGATGCCTTGGAATCTATATTTTATGTCATTATTAATATACAAACGTATTTTTGCCAAACACTGGTAAAATTGAACCAGTCTTCCCAAACGTAGCCTAAAGTGAAATAAGACATAAAAATTAAATCAGAATTTACATTTTTTTCATTTGGATCCCATATATTTGCACTAGTACAAATAAAATTGCACTTCAACCAAACGCAGCGAAGGCGTTGGTGGTAAGAATGTAAGATCACGGTGGTTCAAACCACACCGATTAAAAATAAAACGTGTCACCATTTAATAATAGACACCTGACACGTCCAGTTGGCGTAAAACCCTCGATCCACGAGCATTCATCTACATTATTATGTGATCCTGATTCCTGATTGACGGTTGACATCTACAGCGCAAATAAGAGCCTCTGTATTTTCCAGCACCGAATAACTACGCACCTAAACCCACACGGCATGTACAAATGTCGCGATAAACCGGCTATTGCAGTCATTGGGAGTAATCGCGTGTTAAACGATAACCGGGAGGAAATGACCATTTTGCCCTTAACATTTATATACTCCAATAATCCATCAATTCGATGCGATGTGCCACGAAATTTACTTTTTTTTTTTTTTTTTTCCGACCACATCCTCATAAGGCATGGCCACCCATCCGTGCAATAATCTTGACCAACTAACTTCCTGTGGACCCAGCAATCCGACCGTTTAGATGCATAAGCACCAATCCTACGGCAGAGATTCATGATATTGTTTTTTCTGATAATCTATTTCACTTTCTAAAAATAAACAAATAACTTTTTTATATAAAAAAACAATGGATTAATTGTTAAAAGTAAAACCTCTCCGAAGTTTCTGACTATTGCTGAAACCTCCCTTAAAATTTAGTAATTCCCTTTCTTGGAAATTTAATAATCCTTTATCAAGAGACATAAAAATATCCAAAATACTTATGCAATTACATTTGACCAAAATGTTTATTTTCCAACTTTTTTTTCACATCAATCACCATCTCAATCCCTTCTGATCAATTTTCCAAAATTGATTAATTTTTCAAATTTATGCTTTATATCAATGGCCAAAGGTAAAATTGCAACTTTAAAATTTCTTTTTTGTTGTTCATAAAGTTTGTATTATTTTTTTACATAGAAACATAAAACAGCAGCGATAGTAATTGCATGGGTATTTTCAATATTTTTTTACATAGAAATATAAAACAGCAGTGATACTTTTGGCCAAATTATTTATTTTCCAAAATTTTTCTTCACATCAGTAGTTGCCCCAATCCCTTCCAATCACTTTTCTGAATTTGATTTATTTTTCAAATTTGCTCTTCATGTCAATCACTTAAAAGGTAAAATTATAACTTTAAAATCTATTTTTTTGTTGTTCATAAAATTTATATTGCTTTTTTTACGTAGAAACTGGCCTCAATAATAACTGCGTGAGTATTTTCAACATCAACGAGAGCCAATGTAATGTCTGAAACGCCTGTTACTTTTGACCAAAATATTTATTTTCCAAAATTTTTCTTCATATCAATTGCTGTCCAAAATACCCGATCTCTTTCTTTTGTTGTTTATAAAATTTGTATTATTTTTCTATGCAAGCGAACACTTTCGTACCTCTTATTAAGAGATTTTAAAAAAAAATAGGTGATCTTGAAAATTAAAAAGAAATAATTGCAATTATCAAAACTTAAAAGGAGATTTAAGCAATTTGCTCAAAAATAAAAGCAGGATTAGCCGATTAGAGAGTGAAAAGAGTATGGAATCTGGCCACGAAGACAGTGGGCCGTGGTCACATCTCGCATCGGCTGAGTGCATATAAATGATAAATCCTTGCTTCCAAACCTGCGTAAATCAGTCTCATCTCGGTCGCTCGCTCGCTGGCTGTTGCTAAAAAACTCGTATATTATATATATATATATATATTTTTTTTTCCTCTCTCGAGTCGAGTCTACCCCTCAAGCTCAAAGCCCCTCTCTACTACTCCTAGGCGGAGAGAGTTGCGAGGACTTTGGTTTTTCTTATTTCCCCCTCTTGGCCTTCCCTCTCTTTTTTCTTCCCTGCAAGGCCTCCCGACGAATTCCTACATTCGTAAGCCATGAAAGCTTAGCTCTCTTAAGCCAGGTAAAACTCCTCCGCCATCTCTCCTTTTGTATATGTCTCTCGACTCTCTCTCCTTCTCTTTGTCTGTGTGTCTTTGTTTTGTGTTCTTGTGTTCTTTGTTTTTTTTTACCAAGTTGGCAATCGAGGTAAATCGATACATAACCATGAAGACCCATTTGCGCAGGCCAAAGTTTTCACGTGGGTTTTGACGTTCAAGCTCGTCCATGGAGGTTAGCAAATCTTGTCTTTCATTCCTTTCTGCATGTTTCCTTCTGTTTATAAGACGATTCGATGTGTTCTTCCTCGTGCTTCAATAGTTGCTCTAGTGTTGGAATAAGTTGAATTTGATGGGATCACTTGGAAATTGTCACTACGAGCTATGGGTTCTTGATTCTTGGACGATTTGTTCAGTTCGAATGCTGTATACTTTTGGTTGGGATAATAGGACTTGTTATTAATATACTCGACTCGTTGGGTTTCTTTTAATTTTGCGTTATTTTCTGTTTTTTTATGTTCTTTTGAGATGGGCATATGTGGAGTAGCTTTAGGTGTTGTTTCGGGTTCGAAGATGGATATGGGATGTGTTAGTCTTGTTCTCGGTTTGCAACTGTGAGGTTCTTTTTATACGTTTTTCATTCCAGTGGTGTTTAGATTGTGCGAATCTGGTTTGTGGGTTTAATTGAGTTGTTTGCATATAATGTTTGTCTTCATTATTTATGGCATTTAGCTTGAACATTCCCTCTGATTTGCCTATACAGCTATTGTGATCCCTCTTCTTTTTCTTTTCTTTTTTTTTTTTGTTAAACATCATTTAATTTTTATATCCATTTATCTATATTACCTCTTCGTCCTTTGAGGATCTTTAGTTCTCGTCGTGGTTTTTCTTTTGGTAGAATTAAAGCAATTTGATTTCCTCCATACTGGTAAAAGTAGCTATGGGTGGATTGCTAGCAGGCATACTGAAGTTATTATTTGCAGTCTCTTTCTTATGGGAAATTACCTGTTTGAATTTTAGTCCTTTCAATGTGCCATAGTTAGGGAAAAAGGGACTTACCTTTGGATATCTTGGTTGGAGTAGCTTCCTTATGTTCGGAAAACATTTGATGTTTTTCCACTCTGAAGAACTCGGGATATGTAAGGAATCGGAGTTTCTTTCTTTACCATACATTTCAATTGGCTTTGCAAGTCCAATATCCTAAACTTCTTATGCACATCCAAATTGACTGTGGAAGTTGGGAGGATCTGCTATTCTACTTGGTTACTGAATCCAATACAAAACTCTATTTCATTTTTTAGATCAACACTTGTTTTATTTTATTTTTGAAGGGGAAAGTGAACTTACATCTCTTACTGTTAAACATTTTAGTAGCTGTTAGGCTGATTAGATTGCATGTAGGAGAAAAATATGCACTTATAGTTCCACTGTCGGAAGGGAAGGTTGAAATATACCTGATAAGGCTAATTTTATAGATTAAACCTCCAAATACAGGCTTCAAGAGATGCATTTGTTATACTAAAACCCTTCTATTGCCTCTGTTGCAGTGCAGTCAGTGTGAAAGCACCTCAAATCCCAAACAGCTCATGTTTCCTTATTTATGCTTGTAAATCTCTATTTCAACCAGTTACTCTAGGGTTGTGCAGCATACTGCTAGCCAACCCCATATGGTTGGGATAAGGCTTAGATGATGATGATAGGTGCAGCATACTGCTGAAGTTGTTTTCAGTGCTATAGTGGCTCAATCAACTAACTTAATATGTGCTATTTCAGTTCTCTTGTGGCACTAAAGCTTCTTTACACTAATAGTGCTATCTTTTTGGCCACTTCAGAATGGTTTTTCCTCTTTTGGAATGTTGGTTACATGTTTATTTGAGTCATTTAGTTGTTTTTTTTTTCTTATGACAGAATACATGGCTTTTGATAGGCAAACTGGCAGGACAGGATTTGTGTAGTCAACCCCAAATAGTTGGGATTAAGGCTGAGTTGAGAATAATTTCATGTGGTTTATAATTAATTTAAAGGGTACTTCACTATTGTGGCATATCAGCATATGACTTTGGTCTAAGTTGCTTCAGTTATCATTTCCTTACTAATGATTTCGTCTGTTTTGACTTGTTTAAAGGTATTAGATCCACATTTATGATAGTCTACTGAACTCACATTTCTTCGGGTTATTTCCTTTTACAGATGGATTCAGTTGAAACATATAATGACAACGAGTGCATTGAAGACTTATCTCTTGACCACTTACATTCTATAGGTTCTCCTGATATAAGTGATATATTTGGAGATTCACAGGTATTCCCTCGAGTTGGAGATGAATACCAGGCAGAAATTCCACATCTGGTAGCAAAATCTGACTATCTTAAGCGAATAAAGACAACCAATGCAGAAGTCATGGTTGATGTTGCTCATTCTTTTTGTGTGGGATTACCAATCCCAATTATGTGGGTCAATAATAATGAAATTGGTAAGATCAAATGTGAATCACTGGAGTCTCTTGCTGAGTTGGATAAAAACGGGTCTGTGCAATCTGTAACCAGCAAAGATTGCCAAATAAATTCAAATAACATAGACTCAAAGCTTAAGGTTGAACCTTTGGATGTTGCATTGAACCATGGGAAGGGACTAAGAGAATCAGAAAACCAAAAATTTATGATGGTAGGTGATCAGATTGATTCAAAGTTTCCTTTGCAACAACAAAACAAATCTGCCCAGTATAATGACAGTGCCAAAGGTGATTATCCGGTTCCTGGCTCTTCTAGTGAGCCTTGGAGTGATATTGAGAAAAAGAGCTTTATCCTTGGTCTATATATTTTTGGGAAGAATCTTGTCCAAGTGAAAAGATTTATTGGGAGTAAAGCTATGGGGGATATACTATCATTCTATTATGGCAAATTCTATAGATCAGATGGACACCGTAGATGGTCAGAGTGTCGGAAGATGAGAAGCAGAAGGTCTGTACATGGGCAAAGGATTTTTACAGGATGGAGGCAACAGGAATTGTTGTCACGCTTGCTTATGAATGTCCCAGAAGAAAGAAAAAGTGCACTGCTGGAGGTATTTCATTTTATTTTATTAAACTTGAGATCAAACTTTTGCCTTTAGAATTTATTTAGATGAGATTAAGGGATCTCTGATGATTTATCCTTTGTGGCAATCATATCTTATTAGGAAGTTTCATATTGTACACTTCAGTTATGGGTGCATAAAATATTATGATGTCTGGAAAAATGTGCTAAACTAGCTTCTTTTTTTTTTCTCTATCCTTTGCAGTAGTATTCGTTTTGTTGCTTTCTGTCCCATTACAGTTTCAGCATTTGATTCTTTATACATAGTAACTTCATTTTGGATTAGAGGTTTTTTCTATTATTTTTGCACATTTTATTTGTACCTGTAATGTAAATCTTTGTTAGAAAATCAGAAGCAAATATATAAAAAGAGATGATAGGATCATCAAGAGTTAATGGTCAAAACCAATAGGCTAAAACTACCATCCAAGCAACAGAACAATACAACAAGAACCCCCCAAACCCAAAAGAATTAATCCAAGAGGACCAAGCCTTAATACACCTCACTCTCATTGTTAGTGAATATGTGTATGGCAAAAATATGATCCAGGAAAAGTTTGTATGCAATTTAGAACTAAGAACAAAAAATGCAACAGAAAATTCAGTCAAATAAATGTAATACAGTAGAGATCAATCAAATACAAATTCATGTTTAATACATTTTCAAATACAAATTCTTCCTGCTTTTTACTCTAGTCTGCGTCTTTTTCCTTGCAGAACAAAAAAACATGACTTCTCAAGTATTTCTTTAGATTCTATATCTACAGTTTAGGCCTCCTGTAGGACCTATTCAAAATTAATAGTTACATTTCCCCTGATGTAATTCTTTTTTTTCCTTAGGCTAAGAGTACAAATACAATATGTACAGTACAAATACAAAGTGTAGAAATAGAAAATACAGGGTTTTGCATTGTACATATATACAAATATGTTCAGTGCTAAACCTTGTTTATGGTATTTCTAAGCCTTGTATTTACACTCTACATACTTGTATTTGCATTTCTCCAAACTGAGCCTAAGTATTTCTCTATTATTACGAAGCATGAATCCTATGAAGCTCTAGCTCTGTGCAACAGTATAAATCATCCTTCTAGGGGCTTTCCATCCGCCCCATAAACAAAAGGGATTTCTGTTAGATCTAGATGGGCACGGACTATCTTTTATTTCCAAGAAATGGTTTTATAGGGAACTATCACTTTATTAACCTTCTAGTTGTTTTAGACAATTCAATCTTTACATTGAGGGGTTAGCTAACTAAATATCTCACGCTTAAGTTGTTCAGGGTCATGGACTCCATTAGTACTATTTTAGTCCTACTTCATTTTAAAACCTCTTGTTTCCAAGGCATTTGTTGGTAAGTCTAATTTTGCATTTAGTCCCTCTCTAGTTTAATCGAAATTAATACTGTTGCATTGGCAAACAATATATACCATGGGACCTCCTGAATATGTTTAGTCAATTCATCCATGACTAGTGCAGAAATGCCATTTTGATCTTTTATAAACTTTTTGTTATCGATAAAAGAAAAAGAAAGAAAAAGCTATTTGATTTGGGTTCTACCTAGGGTGTGAAAATATAATGCTAAGGGAAAATATCAGCCTCTCACTTCATGGGAGCTGTGGTCATAAAGTGGGAAGCCTGCCAATTCCACTGGGGGGAGGGGGGGTTTATAGTTATTTTCACATCATATGTAAAAACTTTTTTGAACACACTTGCTTACATAATCATGATACTTTTTAGGTACTGAGCCATCATTTCATTTTGACTGAGGATGACATGACAATCCCCTAAATGCTAATGCTACAAGGCTTATGGTTCCTGTAGACCTTGTAGCATGTGATCATCTTCAATAGTTAACCAAGCACAATGGCGTCCCTTGGAGTGCTAATGCTACAAGGCCTATGGTGCCTGTAGGTTCATGCTCTCGCCTGATAAGCAAAACTAGCATGCATGCACTTAGTGCAATGTTGCTTAGGCTCAGTTTGGAAAGAGTACAAATACAAATATGTAGAGTGCAAAACCTTGTATCGTGTATTATTTTGTATGTATTTGCACTGTACATATTTGTATTTGTGTTCTTTCCAAACTGAGCCTTAGCATTTCTCCGTAAAACAACTTCAAAATTGCTATGTGGAACCTTCATTGATTGTTTAGTCAGTTGGACTGTTAATGGACCCCTAAACTAAAGGGCTTTGAGGTGAAGTCTTGCCACTGTTGAGATTTGGGATAGGTGCTTGGGTCTTTAGGTCCATATGAATATTGCAAGAGGTTTCCAGGTTGATTGTAGTTTGAACTGACCCAGCTTTAACCTAATATAAGCGCTGTTCTGATTACATATTAGGATGAGTTCAGGATCCAGCTGTGGCCATGGCCCAGTCTCATCAGGAACTCATCTCCAAGAAATATAGTGCTCTTGATGCATGGTCAGTAAACAAAAGTAAATCCTCTGTGACTTGAATATTTAATATACAAATCATACATGACTAAACAGAGTTGGAGCAAGATGGCATATTGGATGAAGAATGCTGCATGGCATGGTCTTGATTAAGCATCTCAAGACAAAATTGTAATATAAAACTGTTAAGGACCTTGAACCTAATGGCTCACACCAATCTCTGATTATGGTGATTGGATTGAAAAGGGAACAATTACTCTCAAATGTTCGAGGTGGGGACTGCCTGCACTTGGGTGATGGGTCTACAGATCTGCCATCAGCTTAGCCAAACATTTCTTTCCTTGGGGGGGGGGGAGTGAATATGTAATGAATACAAGAATTAAAAGGGTTTAGGTAGTGACTTCTAGCCTGACAACTATGTAATAACACTCTACATGATCTGTTCTTTTCCTAAATCAATAAAAGATGAAAAATTACTCATCAAGAAAAGAAAAACATGTACAATAGTAGAACATAACTAGAAATGAAATTTTCCTTCCTCTGAAAAAAAATTTAGAATTTACAAGTCAATGGAATTTTTAGAATATTATCCAAAAAACATTTTAAATGGTATTTGGTAGAGAAGGTGTTTTAAGGTTGACTTCTATGAATGAGTTGGATACTATGAATTAAAGACATTCTGATGCATTGTACAACTAAATGGTTACATGATTAAGATTAAGGTATTGAAAAGTACTAGCTAAGATTTTTAATATGTCATGGAAATATTAGGAAATTTATAGACATTTTAAACCATGATTGGAGCTACTACTCTAGGTTCCTTTGAATGACTTCATTTATGAACCTGTCCTCTCTAGCTTTTTTGCTACACTCATTTTTTGGACATGTTTCTTGACTGATCAACACTCTGTTCCATATGGCATAGCTAGCCTTACAACTGTTTTGTAGAATTTTCCTGTTAATTCAAGTGGTATTCGCCTATCACACTCTGGATGTAGCCCTCCATTTTGCCCATCCTTCTCTAAGTCTATGGGCAACATCCCTTAACCTCTCACTTGTTATGAATTATCAAACTGAGGTATTGAAAAAAGGTCACATCTAGAAACAAATTAATGAATAAAGAAAATTAAATGTCAAGGTTCCATATAGACAGATCCCGGTCTAAGATTGAATTTAAGGCTATACAAGGTTTGTAAAGGTTTCCCTGCCTTTCCCTACTCTTTCCTTCAAACCAAACACAGCCTAAGTGCTTAGTGCTTCACTCTCGTAATCCTTGCCTCCCCCCTCCCACACACCCATCCACCCCACACACATTTACATACAAGTCAAAGCATGCCTTGATATTTTGGGGAAAGGAAAATAAATCAGAGGACCAAAATTGGAGATATAGAGGCAGTTTCTTTATTTTCTGGCCCATTTACTATTCTTGAATATAGGTCATGAAATAGAGAAACCAAGGGCAAGAGTAGCTGATCCATTTAAATTTTTTGGCACATTAAGAGACACTAAATTATTGTTTTCGTTTCTTGGAGAAAATTGTATAATCACATATAAAGTAAATAGCTTGTTTCCTATTCCAGCCAAAGGAATTGAGATCCACCTTTGAGAAACATTGGGCAACTAAATAAGTGTAGACCTAAGTTGTGGGGTGGTTGGAAAAAGGCAAGGGGGTGACTTGGCAGCTTAGGAATGAACCCAGGCACTTTAAGTGGTTGTCAAAAGACATGGACCTGCAAGTACATTGGGTTAGAAGATCTACCAACAGTTTGGCAGATAGTTTAGCTAAGCAAGGGGTTCAAAGACAAAATATGTATTGGACACAATTATAATAAGGGTGGGGTGGCTTGCCTTGTATCGGGCTTGCTAGTTGCTCACAACTTGTATTTAATTCCTAATCAAGAAAAAAAAAAAACATAAAGCTAAGATGCTAAGATCGATTGAATGGGAGGTTGCACCTCATGCCTCTTCTTGGGGTGCTTGTAACATTTCTGATATATCATTAATAAGGCTTTTTCAATTATCAAAAAAAAAAAAAGAAACAAATATGGACACTGATGTAGGAAAGAAGAATATCATACTTCATTATTACTTCACACTTCTGGAATTATCCCAGTTAAGATGTTATTACTTCTAAAAAAAAGGTTAAAGAGGTTATCTACCCAAAAATAGCATGATAGATGACTTTTCTTTTTCTTTTTTTTTTCCTTTTTGATAAGGTAAGCATGATAGATGGTAGATGACTTTTAACAACCTGTTTATACCTTCAGAGATTTTTGGCTCTTTACTGGCACTCTTTCTCTTTGTCACCGCCCAAATGAATGCATTAGAGCTAATTGTAATACAAGCTAATCTCTTAAGTGGAGCCAATATACTGCTTTTATGATTCTTCAAGTGCAAGGCAATGGGAAAACATTCAATGAGCCCTCTAGTCTAAATCCAAGATATTCCTAAGATTTTAGTGAGTTTCAAGAAGTTAGGGAAGAGGATTTCATTAGGGGTTTGGAGGGGGAGAAGATGGGGTAGAGAAAGAGATGGTTTCAGAGGAGGGTGTAGGAAAAACGGGAGTCGGAAAGGCAAAGTGGAGGAAGCTGGTGACAAAAGGAAATGAGGATATCGAACCAAAACAATTTTAGAAAAGGATGAGAAGGATGCAGAAGTTGAGGAAGATACTGTAGATTACATTTCAAGTGAAGATATTGTTTTAGATGAAACTCATGAAGTAGAGGGTGAAGTTGATTTGGAGACAATAGCGAATACTGAATTGGAGGTGAGTAAGACTCTTGGTTTATTCTTTTTTTTTTTTTGGGGGGGGGGGAAGATGGTGAGGAAGAAATTTTGGGAGTTGGAAGAAACGTTAATGCTCCTGATGGCTTTGAACCTGGCACCAATTGGATTTGTGCGGCATCATCTGTTTTGGAAAGGGATCTAGAGAGAGGAGAGGAGCGATGGAATTAGAGAGGATGAACACTAGCGAGAGGAATCACAATGTATAAGACATTTCAGAAATTGGAAGAACTTCCAAACTGTTCAAGTGTCAAAAAATTTTTCAAGGTAGAAAGGGTTCTTTTCTTTGGTTTTGGGCCTAACAAGAAGGTAAAGAAAGCCAATGAGGGAAGAAACGAAAGCTTTCTCACATTGTTGGTGGTGTTGAATAATCAGGGGCAGTGGTGGGGCGGTGTCAGTTTGGGTTTCAGATTTTTATTTTTTGGTTATTATTGTTGATGTGGGTCATAGTTTTCAAGGCGTCTAGGTGATTCTAGGCGACATTGGGGCGCCTAGTCTCCTAGTCGCCTAGGCGATAAAAGTTTTATAATATAAAAAACTGACTTTTGGCTAGTTTCCTAGTTTTATATACCATTCAGCATGTATGTTAATTGAAAAAATAGCAATTCTCTTTATTAAGAACATTAAATTTCCTCTAAAAATGTGGCAAATCATCACATCTAAAAGATAAAAATCTTTTACATGTATTAATTTCATTATTTTCAAAAGTAATACTACTATAATAAGTATTTAATAAAGCAAATTCATATTAATTAGCAGCTAAAGAAGGTTATTAACTTATATGATAAATATTCAAGATAGAAAGTAAAATAGAAAAAAAAAACAAGGATGGAGTTTCTGTTTTATTTAATTAGAGAGAGAGAATAGAAAAAAAGAACATTATTATTCTATTCTTTCTTTCCTCTTTCTTTTCTTTCTTTTTCTCTCCACAAAACCCTTTGATCTTTTAAATTTCAGTAGTAAAACATTAAAACAAAGTATAATTGATATACATAGTATATAATAAAATATATTAATACATACATTAATAAGATACATCGATATAAATGACATTATAAAAGGCACCCGCCTTGTCATTTTTGTCGCCTAGGCGGGCGCCTAGTTGCTAAAAGTCAAGGCATTTGGGCGAGGCGCCCAGCCAAGGGTGCCTAGTCGCCTAGGCAATGCCTTGACAACTATGATGTGGGTGTTTGCTGTTGGTGGTCTTGGCGGGATTCTCAGGTGGTGGGACGATTTTCATTATGTTCTGATCTAGTAGGCTTGATGGGGAAAGTTGTGTCCAGAGGTTTTAGGGTACCTCTTTATACTCTATCTTTTCTTAATAAATTTCTTCTTTTTTATTTATTATAAAAAAGGCATTCCTAATATTACAAACTGAAAATTAATGCATGACAGTTAATGTTGAACTTATTATCTAATATTGACATATTGATGTTACACAAGTGTGTTGGCACAATGGTAGAATCTCAGGCTGAGAAGCATGTGAGCATCCACTTTGTGCAAAAAATGCCAAAAGTAAGATCCGTATCCAGAGTACCCCTCCCAAGACCCCAGTAGCTGAGTCCATCATTGGGTAATGACCCTTCTATTGATGTTTTACCAACACGACCACTTATCCATATGGTAAATCATGGAAAAAATGCATCTAGAATGTCACTAAAAGTTGTATGAACTTCTTTCAGAAAGCAAATCTTTTGTTATGGAAGTGCCATGAATTATACAAATTTAGGCTTATCCTAGTATATTCAAAACCATATTGGCAATTTTTTCATTGTCAAGGGCTGTTTTGTCTCCATTAATTGGTGTTTTTCTTTGCTTATGTATTAGTTTTTTTTGTTTTTTTTTTGGATATTAGGTGGTTAGTATGTGTCCATGTCAAACCAGTCCAGATTTGATATTTGCCAAGGGAGACTAGAGGGAAGTTGTGCACCAGGTGGAGAAATAAGTTAATATCACCCAGTTATGTTACTGCCCCTACTTCAGTAACATAACATAAAATACCCTATTACCCTTAAGGATTAAAGAATCAGTGAAACACATGTTGGATACGCTAGGGAAAGAAACGCATATAAATTCCATAAATACATTAATTATACTAAATTTAAGGTCAAATGGCCACAAATAATGTATAAATACATAAAAAATGTATATTTTAATGGTGTATATGAAAAAAAAAAGTATTAATATAACAAGATGCGTAGATATCATACAATTTTATCGATAATACTATATTAATTATTTTCTATTTTATTATTTTTATTTTTTTACATTAACAAAAAAGTCAACCAAATATTAAATTCTGAAATGTAAATTAAAATATCAATTAATAATTTATAAAATATATAATCTCAGCTTAAAATATATCATATGTATTAAAATTTCTAAGATAAATATCATATGCAAATTCATAATTTTTAATTACTAAAATGATTTTTTTGATAATTAATTACTAAAATGATTATTACATTATTAATATTTTTATTTATATAATTTTCTAAAATTAAAAACATTTTTGATATAAATGTAGATACACAAATTGATACACACCTGTGTCAGCCCGATATGCACAACTAGCAGGATACACCTCCAATTGTTGTGTATCCCTTGCCAGTTAGTAACAATACCAATACGATATGTCAATATTTCAATCCTTGCCCTCAAGTAAGCATAAAAACCAAAACACCCAGCTGCCTATTACATCAAAGACTTATAACAATTTGTATGTCAATAAAAATGCTACATGTATATTCTTGGGTAAAGGCTCATAACCTCTTAACCAATTCCCTTTTTTTGTAACCTTTAGATTATAGTGAATCTAGTGTTTTAAAAGTGCAAGGTGCGGAAAAAGCACAAGGGGCAATTTGTGCCTGAGGTGCAAGGCACAAGGTGAGGTGTGTGCCATTTTGAAGCAAGGTGCAAAAATACAAAAAAGGCCAAAAAATAAAAATAAAAAAGAGTCATAAAATTCAGAAAAACCAAAAAATATAAAAAAGAAATCAAAAAAATATTAAACATAATATTAATAAAAAATATAAACTTAAATTTTAAAATAAATATTTTAAAAAGCCTATTATCTAAAGTTAAAATACACAAACATAGCATGTAAAGTGTATTCAAATGAAAATTTAAAAATAAAATCAAACATATAAAACATTTTCAAGCATGTAAACCCACAATCTCTTTTCCTCAATTGCATTACTTCATAGCTAATGTGGTGTAAAAAATATTGCATTCCTGATTCTATGAGCCGCCTTTGTACCACGCGTCTTGAGGCAAGCCCAAACAAGTCTATGTTAGGGTCTTAAATTCTTAATTCTCAAACAAAAAATAATGATTTTATAATTTTAATTGCCTTTTAAGAAGATATTTTATTAGGAGGAATGAATGAATTATAAAATCGTTATTTTTTGTGTGAGAAGTAAGAATTTAAGACCCTAACATGGACTTGTTCGGGCTTGCCTCAAGGGGTGTGGTCAAGGGTCTGGGAGCGGATCCCCGAGCTCAGCTGTTAGGTTCAAAAAAAAAAAAAACAAAAAAAAAGCATAAAAATTTAAAAAGGCACACGCCTGGGCTGAGGTGTTAGCAATGTTGGAGGGGGTGCAAAGAGCCAAAGAAATTAAAGTTAAGAAACTGATTATAGAAGGAGATTCTGCGGTTGTTGTGGATTGGCTGAAAGAAGACACTTCCAAGATGTGGAGCTACAGCAATGAGAAAAGAAAATTCAAGTGGCTGATTAAGGATATGGAAGTCCTATGTACTTGGGTTAAAAGAAATGCTAATTCCTT